AGCATTTGCGGCAACATCTCCCGCGCGACCTCGGCTGTGTGGTTGTTGTGGACACTGAGCCGGTAGGCCCCGTAGACTGCTGCGACCCGCAAGGCGGAGAATGTCAGCGCCATGTCCTCCCCCCGCCCGGCCTCGCCGAGAAGCAAAAAACTACGGCGGCGTAGATGAGCATCACCACGAGGGGCGGGTAATCGCAAACATCGGCACGAGAAGTCCCACACATGCCGGCACACCGAATAATGCTCGATGGAGTCTTCGCCACAACTGCACCCAAACACACACGACCCACTCTTCTGGAAGCAGCGCGATGTAATCCAGCCATTCCAAAGTGTTCGAAGAACGGCAGAAGAAACACGCGGCGGTACCAGCCCGCTCAAGCGGGCGAGCATACGTAGTGCCCGGTCCGCTCGCACTCGCGGGAGCAACCTGACGCCCCAGCGCTCCAATTTGCGACGCATGCGAAAATGCACCTCCTTCTGGACTGAACCCACCAAGGCCTCGTCGATGTATTTCTGGTACCTTTTGCGTAGCTGGCCTAGGTCGGTCTGCGCCCGCTGCTGGCCTGGCGGCCCGGCAATGTCCCCCATGATCCGGCCATGGTGAGGGCCTTGCCCGGCGCACGTGGATGGAGCCAGGCATATGTATGTGTGTGTATGTGTCTGGCAGTATGTCCATCCGTCTGCCTGTACGCATGCATATGTCTGCATGTATGAAGGAGATGAATGAATGCTTGTGTATGTATGTTTGTACGTACGTATGCATATATGTGTGTAGGTAGGCATGCGTCTGTATGTCTGTTTGAATGTATGTGTGCTGGTATACTTTGGTATATATATATATATATATATATATGTAAGTATGCATATGTATGTAAGTGGGTCTGCAGCTCTGTATGTACTTATACATATGTGTGAACCTACATGCATACATGCATGGCTGTATGCATGTAGCATACATGGCGTATGCACGTATGCATCTAAGTGCGTATTTATGATTGTCTATATGTATATATGAATGCATGCATGTATGTATGCATGCATGTATGTAGGCATGTGTGTATGGTTTGATGCATGCACGTATGTACGTATGTATGTATGTATGCAGGTATGTAGGTATGTACGTATGTGTGCATGTTGTATGTATGCATATATCTGCACATACACACACATATATGTATATAGATGTGCACGCACGTATGTATGTAAATATGTGCTTGTGTGTTTGTATACACTCGCCGGACCAACGGGCCAGAGGCGTGCTAAAATCTCCGGTAACTGCTCAACAATATTTCTAGTTCGCGCGCGCGGGGCGGGCCCTGGGGGTTCCCGGACGAAAAATACCCCGGCAAGGTCCCGGCAAGGTCCCGGCAAGGTCCCTTTTCGGAGCCCAGGAGGGCTCCAAACGGTCCAAGAGAGGCCCGAGAAGCCCTCCAGACGGTCCAAGAGAGCCGGGAGACGCCGAAATATCACTCCCAAACGCCTGCGATGGCCTCAAGACGGCCCAACAGGCCTTCAAGACGCCCCAAGAGGTCCCTAAGCGGCGCCCCAAGAGGGCTCCCACAAGCAAAAATCCTCCCATCCCCTTAGGAAAAGGTGCTTTTTTTTATCCGCCTCTTCGTCTTTCACACCTTTCAAGGCGGTCCTAGAGGCCCCCAAGATCACCCCAAGACGGCCCGAGAGACCCTCAAGACCGCTCAAAGACGGCCCAAGAGCGCTCCAAGAAGGCCCAAGAAACCCTCAAGAACTCTTTTTCGGAGCCCAGGAGGGCTCCAAATCGGTCCAAGAGGGGCCCGAGAAGCCCTCCAGACGGTCCAAGAGAGCCGGGAGACGCCGAAATATCACTCCCAAACGCCTACGATGGCCTCAAGACGGCCCAACAGGCCTTCAAGACGCCCCAAGAGGTCCCCAAGAGGTCCCTAAGCGGCGTCCCAAGAGGGCTCCCACAAGCAAAAATCGTCTCATTCCCTTAGGAAAGCGTGCATTTTTAACATATCCGCCTCTTCGTCTTTCACACCTTTCAAGGCGGTCCTAGAGGCCCCCAAGATCACCCCAAGACGGCCCGAGAGACCCTCAAGACCGCTCAAAGACGGCCCAAGAGCGCTCCAAGAAGGCCCAACATACCCTCAAGAACTCTTTTTCGGAGCCCAGGAGGGCTCCAAATCGGTCCAAGAGGGGCCCGAGAAGCCCTCCAGACGGTCCAAGAGAGCCGGGAGACGCCGAAATATCACCCCCGAGCGCCTACGATGGCCTCAAGACGGCCCAACAGGCCTTCAAGACGCCCCAAGAGGTCCCTAAGCGGCGCCCCAAGAGGGCTCCCACAAGCAGAAACCGTCTAATTCCCTTAGGAAAGCGCGCATTTTTAACATATCCGCCTCTTCGTCTTTCACACCTTTCAAGGCGGTCCAAGAGGCCCTTAAGATTACCCCAAGACGGCCCGAGAGACCCTCAAGACCGCTCAAAGACGGCCCAAGAGCGCTCCAAGAAGGCCCAACATACCCTCAAGACGGTCCAAGAGGCCCCAAGACGGCCCCATGATTGAGGTCCACAGGTGCAACCTGAACGGAAATTTTGAGCCTCCCGCCTAAACACGCCCCCGAAATGCCCCTACAAGCCCCCGAGTAGCCCCACGAAGCCCCCAAGAGAGCCCCAAGAGGTCCCCAACAGGCCGCAAGAAAGCCCCAAGAGGCCCCCAAGAGGCCAGGCAGACCCCCCCAAGAGACCACCAAGAGGGCCCACCCAGAGCCATCCACGAGGCCTCCCAAAGTTCCCAAGAAACTCCCACGAAGCTTCCAAGGGCTCCCAAGACCCCCCAAGAACCCGCGATGGCACAATACGGGCCAGCGGAATGAGCGAAGCGATTCAATATGTGTAAATGTACACCTGGACTTATCTGTATCACTTTCGCGGAAGGCTGCCCACATCAACACAAGAAAACTATGGATAGTTTCCTCTTCCGATGTCCGGCGCGCTTCCCAGAAGCCTCTCCGGGAACTTGGAATCGCGCCTGTTTGGGAGCCCTCGTGGAAACTTGTGTGAGCCTTTGGCGGGCGTTCTGGGGTTGTTTTGGCGCCGCCTTGGGGCGCGCCAGGGCCCGCGTGCACGCCTCGTGCGCCGTCTTCGAACGTCGGAAAGCGGGGCAGGCGACCACTGGAGACTCGATGACACACCGATGGGAAATCAACTATTTTTGCCGATTGGGCTGGAACAGTCCCAATAAGCAAAGATCGCTGATTCTTCCCACAAGCTGTAGAGGGTTAGAAGCTGCTTCCCGAAACAGCTTGGGCAAGCAGTTTCTACCCCGCTTGGGCCGTCTTGGATGCCTCGTAGGCCGCATCGGAGCGATGGTGGGCGTGCTGGGGACGTTCCTGTGGGCCTCTTGAAGGATCCGCGTGGCGTGTCTAAGCTAATTTGGGGAGCCACCTGGAGCCCACTTGACCGATTCTGAACACCTCCTGGGCCGTCTGAACGCCCTGTTGGGGTGTCTTGGGGCCCTCTTGGGTGCCTCTTGTGCCGTATCCGGGCGTCGGGCAGCGGAGCAGGCGACCACACGAAAATCCTTGAAAAGCCATGGGTGGACCAATGATTCGCCCCTGAGACATCCCTCGGGGATCGACTGAAACTCTCTTGGGGCGTCTTGAAGGCCACGTGAGCCGTCTCGACGCAATGGTCGGCGTGCTGGGAGCGCTGTGGTGTTTCCTGGCTCCCCTGGGGACCCACCCTCGTGCCTCTGAGCCCCCCCGAGGGCCCTGTGTGGCGGCGGGCCCGCCCACACTGAGGCACCGCCATCCCCCCCTTCGGGCTTTACACACACACACACACACTCTCACTCACTCACTCACTCACACACACACACACGCACGCACGCACGCACGCACCCATACACACACGCACACACATGAATGTATCGATGCACACACACATATATAGATATATATACACATATATGTATACATATTATTGTACGTATATAAAATGCATACATACGTTTACATACAACTGTATACATATAGGTGGGCGCAATTGCAATGTGACTGGCCATGCGTATATATAATTAACAAAGTAGTTGTAACTGTAGAACGTGCATGTTTCTGCGCATGTGTATATGTACTTGCAAACAACTACAAACGTTCACACAGGCCTGTGTATTTATAGGCGTGTATGTATATGTTATATTTATTGATATCTATATCTCTGTGTACGTGGGTGTGTGTATATATATGTGTGTCTGTGTGTAACTACATGTGTATAAGCATATAGATTCATGGGAATGGGCATGCATACGTATTGTCAAGTATATACTAGTTTTGTGCTCGCACTTCTATATCCAGGCCAGTAGCGATATGTCGTAGCGGAAGACCTTCACCCTGAACAAAACTGGAGCACACGACTCAAGAAAGCCTTTCACTTTGGACCGGCCCCAGAGAGGATTTAACTCAAGCATATTGACAGGGGATCAAGGCAGGTCGGGCGGGCACAGGGAGCCCTGAACCCGAACAAATACGGAAGGAGAGGTTCCACAACCCTCGACAGTGTGTCTCAACAGCTCAACTTAAACGGCCGTCCTTCGACGCACACGCACAACACTAAAACGACACAGCGATGATATACCAAGCTTTGGGCTCCCGCTTTCTTACATCCAGGTCAGCAGCGATATGACGTGGCGACAGACCTTTGCCCCGAACAAAACTGGAGCACACGATTCAAAACACCTTTCACTCTGGGCCCGTCTCAGAAAGGATGAAACTCCCGACGTGCCGAACTTTCATCATTGGAGGCATCCGATCAAAAATCACAAAATCCATATATATATATATATATATATATATATATATATATATCGGTCGCAGCAAGGGCGTCTGTAAAGTGTCAGGCAAGAACGCTGCAAAACGTTTTGGGGTACGGTTTGGTAATTCAAGCTCCAAAAACACCTAGGATTTTCTGGGCAGCTCAACGTGGGGGGTTACAACTGTTGCTACAAACGCCTCGGCCTTTGCAGCGACGAGAGCACCTATCCAGGTCAACATGCACACTCACGATTCTAGCTCGCTCGCACCATGGCGTGCCGAACGCGCAGGGATCGGTCATAATTGAACGCGCGGGGCGAAGGCGACAGGCGGGAACCATTGCGGGACATATCAATATTTTGCTGGCCGCTGGGTTCCCCAGCGCACGCGGCATGACAAGACGAGCTCGAAGTCTGAGAATGGACGCCGAGATAGTCGCGAGCACACTTCCTACTCGGACCTTCTCGCAGTCTGCGGGCGACAGTCCTGGCATCCCGAGCGACAGGGCGTCGCTGCTGAGCCGAGGGGGGGGCGCTCCCTCGGCCCCTGGCGCGTGAGAGGCTCGAGCAGAGCGTGCCCATCCAGACTGCTGCCACCTGCGAAGCGGAAAACCATCCACGCGAAAGCTTTTGAACACCCCGCATTGTCAAATCGTACTGCTCACCATGACGAATGTCAAACTCCACAGTCGGCTACTCAAGCTGTCGCCTCCGCGCCGAAGAGAAACTCACTGAACCCGCAAATAACCCAACAGCGAACCTCACGGCAAGGCGGCGATGGGCCTCGAAGAACGGGACTGCATGCTCATGGCGCTGCCACTCCTGGAGGCGCATCTGGCCGCAGCGCGCTGCGCGCCAAGCGGCAGGTGGTGCAACTGCTCGGTCAGCCCCCCCGCCTCCTGGTAGCGCCGCGCGAAGCTTGGCTGAGCTCAGCCCCTGCGGTGCGTGCCGCACGCCCAACGGGCTCTGTCGGCCGAGGCCGATGTCCAGGCTCGCCCCGGCATGTCGCAGTCCGCGCAACATCGGCGGCCCGAGGTCCTGAAGCCCCGAGACCAGGCCGCCCCGTCTGTACTGAGTGCGCTACTGCTGGTACGTGAACCCGAACATCTGGCCCTCTGGCCCGCCTGCGTCGCTCCAGAGGGCCCCCCATCAGCGGGATCATGAAGTTGTGGTCTGCCAGGTCGAGCGGCCTCGAGTCGTCCCACTTGTTGACCTTCGACGGCGACCCCAACTCCATCGGGTGAAGGATTGCCGTCCAGCTGGAGTGACGCTGACCCCGCAAGCTAGAGGCGGGACCAGCTGACGCCGTCGAAGCCCCAGTGCCTCGCTGGGCCTCAGATAGAACACGTCGCACTGCAGCACAGCCGCCGCCGTCGTCCAGCATCCTTCGCCGACGAGCCAGTCGCAAAGGAAGCACGCCACTTCCCACGGCGTCGGCAACCTCGACATGCTGGGGCACTTCAGGCTCCAGCCTCGTAGTGCTTGGCGAGCCGCAGGCAAGTGCGCCCTTTTCTGGCGGCCCCGCCCCGGGTTGACGAAAAAATGCCGGCGCCAGGCGAGGCCCCAGGCCGGAGTGAGCCCTCTCGAAGTATTGGAATTCGAAGTAGTAGACGATCGCGTCTTCTACCTGTCCCTCCAACGCGAGGGGGAATCGGTGGTACTTCGACCACTCCACGAAGGCCCTCCAGCTCGACAGGTACAGCTGCTTGGTCCGAGGTCGCACGCTGGCCCCCTGCAGGTAGCTCAAGCGCGCCATTTCCAGCCCCCTCTGCGCAGCCGAGCCCCAGTGGGCAGCCGCGCGCAGCGGCGCGTCGCCCTTGAGGCTGAGCCCGCCGTTGCACCGGCGCCATCGGCCCCAGCGCTGCTGGGCGCGGAGTCTCCGTCGCCTCCGCTGCGTTCCGACGCCGACGGCCGATCTGCTCCCTTGGCAGGCCGCGGCGCGCGGCCGCCGGCCCGCGCGGCAGCGCCGCCAGATCCACCTCCAGGGCCCCCTGCTGCTGCAAGCCCTCTCCTCGAGGAAGCATCGGCTGGGTTTTCCTCGCTGGAGATCCACCGCAGGTAGACGGAGCAGCCAGAGACCAGCGCCAGGGCGGCCCAGCGGCGGACCACGTGCAGCATGCCAGGAGCGGATGTTCGCCCCTTGCTCAGAGCCAAGACGGCGGACATCGAATCACTTAGAATGAGCAGACGTCGGTGCCAGTTCTGACTGCTCCTGAGATATGCCGAAGCCTCCAAAAGGCAGCACGCGTCTACAGGATCGGGATACTCTCGACTCGCTCCCAGGTTTAAGAATTCACGACTTTCTAGGGCCCCCTGATCAAGAAACGGGCGACTGGATCCACGCCCCGCTCCAGGCGCACGCGGCCCTCTACCTCCGTCGTCTCCCGCATCTCCTTCACCTCCTCCTCCATGGCCTTCATCTCCTCGATCCGCTCCCTGGCCTGCTCGCGGGCCCCCTCGCCGCCCTCCTTGAACTTCCACACCTCCGAAAACTCATGGCGTGCTGGACGTCGGCCCCCAGGCCCTCCGTCCCCGCCGCCCCGAACCCCCACTGAGAAGCGTCAGTGGCCAACGCGCGGGTGCATGCAGGAGCGCGCAAGCCCCCCGAGCAGAGGCGGACCAGGTCAGAAGCCTATCGGAGTTCACGCCGAAGAGCACTCCAGACTCCCACGCTCTCCCCGCGATGTCTCCCAATCAAGGCGCGCGCCCCACTGAAGACCGACAGGAGCTCCCGATGAAGAAGAATAGATGAGTACAGTGCCCAACCAGGACCTCCACCTGCTTGCCGCTCAACGAGCGCATGCGCGAAGCGTGCTGAAGAGCCAGTCGGAGTCCCCACTCTTCTCGTTTTTCCCATCACCATCGGACGGTCACTCGAGAACATCCAGCCGAACGCTTCGCCTTCGGGCCCCGCCTCCATGGGGCGCGCTCGCAGGTCTACGCGCTCGAGCTCGGACGCAACCCTTTCGGCCGCCGAACGAGCCCTTCCGGCGGTCTGCGAGAAGGCAACACAATTGTCCACGCAGGTGGCATGGGCCACTGGTTGCAACGCGGGAGGGGATCGATGATCTTTTTCCTGCTGTCATTACCGAGACCAGGGACACGAAAGTGACGACAGTTTTGCGCAGGTGGCAGCCCCCACTCCACCCCCGACGGAGCAACGAGGTCTTGACTGGTTGTCCCGTAAGACACGCCCCGCATACCCTCCCAGGAACCCAAGAAAGTAGCGCCAGTTGCGCAGTTCGCAGCCCACCATCAGGAACCGCGCGGTCTCTAGTGGATGCCCCGTATGACGCAACTTCGCTGGGCCTCTGAGGAGCCCACGACAGTGGCGAGAATTCTGCAGTTGGCAGCGCCCGCCCTTCCTCAGAGAACCGCGGGGTCTAGTCTGGGTGCGCGTAAGGCACTATTACACTGGGTCTCCAAGGTGCCCACGAAAGCAAAATCAACTGGACCCCACTGGAGTTGACGAAAGCGGCGGCAGCTGCGCAGCTGGCAGCCACAAGGGAAGCGAATATGTAGGATGCAAATTAAAATTATCCTGGCGAAGGACCCAACCAGATGCAGTTGCGAGTGCCGCAATTGTGAATATCTTCTTCGATGGCGCTCCCTATGGGGCCACGAAGCGTGTGAGGGGTGTGCCGAAATCTGCGCGGCGGGCGCATGGGAGCGCAGCCACTGGGGCCTTCGCTGGAGCTCCCTATGGGGCCACGAAACGTGTGAGGGGTGTGCCGAAATGGGCGCGGTGGGCGCATCGGAGCGCAGCCACTGGGGCCTTCGCTGGAGCTCGCTATGGGGCCACGAAGCGTGTGATGGGTGTGCCGAAATGGGTGCGGTGGGCGCATGGGGGCGCAGCCACTGGGGCCTTCGCTGGAGCTCCCCATGGGACCACGAAACGTGCGATGGGTGTGCCGAAATGGGTGCGGTGGGCGCATGGGAGCGCAGCCACTGGGGCCTTCGATGGCGCTCCCTATGGGGCCACGAAACGTGTGAGGGGTGTGCCGAAATCTGTGCGGTGGGCGCATGGGAGCGCAGCCACTGGGGCCTTCGCTGGAGCTCCCTATGGGGCCACGAAACGTATGAGGGGTGTGCCGAAATGGGTGCGGTGGGCGCATGGGGGCGCAGCCACTGGGGCCTTCGCTGGAGCTCCTATGGGGCCACGAAACGTGTGATGGGTGTGCCGACGGGCGCATGCAGGGGCCTTCGCTGGAGCTCCCTATGTGAGGGGTGTGCAGAGATGGGTGCGGTGGGCGCATGGGAGCGCAGCCACTTGGGCCTTCGCTGGAGCTCCCTATGGGGCCACGAAGCGTGTGAGGGGTGTGCCGAAATGGGCGCGGCAGGCGCATGGGAACGCAACCACTGGGGCCTTCGCTGGAGCTCCCCATGGGACCACGAAACGTGTGATGGGTGTGCCGAAATGGGTGCGGTGGGCGCACGCTCCCTATGGGGCCACGAAACGTGTGAGGGGTGTGCCGAAATGAGTGCGGTGGGCGCATGGGAGCGCAGCCACTGGGGCCTTCGCTGGAGCTCCATATGGGGCCACGAAACGTGTGAGGGGTGTGCCGAAATGGGTGCGGTGGGCGCATGGGAGCGCAGCCACTGGGGCCTTCGCTGGAGCTCCCTATGGGGCCACGAAACGTGTGAGGGGTGTGCCGTAATCTGCGCGGTGGGCGCATGGGAGCGCAGCCACTGGGGCCTTCGCTGGAGCTCGCTATGGGGCCACGAAACGTGTGAGGGGTGTGCCGACATGGGTGCGGCGGGCGCATGGGAGCGCAGCCACTGGGGCCTTCGCTGGAGCTCCCTATGGGGCCACGAAGCGTGTGAGGGGTTGTTGATGATGATGATGATGATGATGATGATGATGATGATGATGATGATGATGATGATGATGATGATGATGATGATGATGATGATGATGATGATGATGATGGCAGGAGGGAGGGGGCAGCGGGAGGAGGAGTGAACGCGGGGCGCTGTCTCTTCAAAACGAGGGCCCAACACCACAGGATGGTTGGGAAAAAGTTACCAGGCAGGAGGAAAGGATGGAGGCAGGAGGATGGGATGGGAGTGGAGGCGCCAATGCCCTGCTCAAACAAAAATACCCCACACGGGAGGATTGGGAACATGTAAGCCTAACAGAAGAAGTCTGGCACAGGCATCATAACCATAAGCTCTTCAAAGCCTGCGGGTATTTCTTGGATCAGCGCTGGGCCCCCCTTCCCTGGCGCACGGAGCGCGCCAGGGGCGGCGCCGAAGGCGCCGCCAGGGAGGGCCAGCGCCGACCCAAGAACTCCGCGCGGATTTCCGACGGTACAGGACCCCATGCCTTCGTGCCGATGCATATGGCACCGCCGAGGCTCAGATGCGCTCCCCGCCAGTATCCCCCCCTCCTCCTCGTCCAACTCCAAGTCCTCAACTAGCACATCGGCGGAGAAGGAGGAACAACTCAGAAAGAAGGAACACGCGCGGCGCTGCGTACTCAAAACCAGATCCAACTCCACATGACGGTTGGGAGCAAGCAAGACTAGCGCGCGCGCGTCCTACCCCGAGCACTTTCGCGCGTCTGCTTTTGCTTCTGACCCCGCACGCACTTCCAGCGAGGATTCGAAGTTGATGGGCAGCAGATGCTCGAAAGAGCTCATCATGCCCCGCCCCTCCTCTTTTCGTCCTTCCTGTTCCCTCCTGCGCTCATCTTCGCACTTGGTGGACGCCTGATCCTCTTTCGGGGCCGAAGAACTCGGCTGTATTCCAGCACGCGTGCTGCGAGCGGGCAAGCCGAAGGTCAAGTTTGCGCGAAGGTAGGATAGCCAGCCGCCCACCAACTTTAGCAACCCTGAACACAATAAACGGCATCATTGCAGACTTCACTTCCGCAAGTTTCCGACGGCCTCCGCCAGCAGAATCGCCCTCGTTACATTTCCTCCGCCTTCCGCGGGCCCTTCGCCAACAACGAGAACTCAATGTTTGAGAGAGCGTGATCCACCGCCGCTTTACTGTGGAAAATTCCCCCCCTCTTCCTCCGGAACCTGGGGGTCCCCCCCCCTCCGAAAATCCCCCGCCCCTGCTAGAACCCTTCCCCCACCCCCCTCCCCCCCCGGCCCCCCCCCCCCCCCCCAAACCCCTCCCCCGCCCCCCCCCTCGAAAACCGGGGGGGCCCACTACCGGTTCGACCCCCCCCCCCCCTCGAAAACCGGAGGGGGGATCACTACCGGTTCGACCTCCCTCCCCACCCCACTCACCGCCAGCAAACGACTCCCGGTCCCTACCACCGTCCGCACCACATCCCCCACTGTTGTTCCCAGCACCACTGTCCTCACCACCACTGTCCCCACTGGTTCCACCACCGTCCCTACTGTCCCCACCAGTGCCCCCACCACTGTCGCACTGTCCCCACTGTCCCCACCACTGTTCCCACCACGGTTCCACTCTCCCCACTTTCTCCACGGCCCCAACCACTGCCCGACTATCCCCACTGTCCCCACTGTCCCACTGACTCCTCCGCTGTCCCACTGAGCTGTCCCACTGTTCCCACCACTGTCCCCACTGTCCCCACCACTGTCCCCACTGTACCTCTGTCCCATTGTCCCACCGCCGTCCTCGCCACCGCCTTCACCACTGTCCCCACCACCACTGTACCCTCCACTGTCCCACTGTTTCCACCACATTCCCACTGTCCCCACACCACTGTCCCCACCACCACCGTCCCCTCCACTGTCCCACTGTCCCCACTGTTCCCACCATTGTCCTCACCACTGTCCCCACCACTACCGTCCCCACCACTGTCCCGCTGTCCCCACCATTGTCCCGCTGTCCCCTCACCACTGTGCCCACCACCACCGTCCCCACCACTGTCCGCACCCCCCCTCGGTTTTCGAGGGGGGGGGGGTTCGAACTGGTAGTGACCCCCTCCCGTTTTCGAGGGAGGGGGGGGGGGGTTCGAACCGGTAGTGACCCCCCCCCTTTTCATGATGGACTGGGAGGGGGGGGGAGGGGTTCGAACCAGTAGTGACCCGCCCCCCCCCGGTTTTCCAGAGGGGGGGGGGGAGGGGTTCGAACCGGTAGTGACCCCCCCCGGTTTTCCGCCAGCAGCAGTAGAACACGCTCTCTCCAATGTTTCAACCCCTCGTGGTAGAAGCCCTTTTAGGCGCGTACCGTCTAGGCCGACGCGCGCCAATGCACTTGGTTTGATCATCCCTCCTCGCTGGTGCGTGGAATGGGCAATGCGAAGAGAGGTCACCAATCGAGGGGCGCCACATCTTCGAGGAGGGCGTCTCAATACTCCCGAACCTTCAAACATGCACAAGATCGGTAGAACACCTTCTCGACCCTCGGACCTCAGAATGAGCTGGCCACCCCGCCCAAAAAATCTCATGACCCAACCAGTGCTTGCACTTTGAAATTCTTGCTTGTCTTACTAAGGAGTTGGAGAGGTCCGTCGAGGTTCCGCCGCGTGGCCGCACGTTGCCGCCCACCTGGATGGGTCTGTCGAGGGTTCGCCGCGTCGCCGCCCGTTGCCGCATCGTTGCCGCCCACTTTGAAGGGTCTGCCGAAGCTGCGCCGCGTCGCCGCCCGTTGCCGCTTCGGTGCCGCCCACTTTGGAGGGTCAGTCGAGGCTTCGCCGCGTCGCCACCCGTTGCCGCCTCGTTGCCGCATAGTTTGGGGGGTCCGTCGAGGCTGCGCTGCGTCGCCGCCCGTTGCCGCCTCGTTGCCGCCCACCG